CTTCTTGATAGATAATATTTCGGAACTTATATTTAAAGGTTAGGATTGCGCAATTTCAAAAAAGGTCAGAGGGCACATTAGCATGTATTTAAATAACAAAAGCAGAAATTTGAATATTAAAAGACAGGAAACAAAACAATATTCAGACCTTGCATATATTTCAGGTCAAACATTTATTTGCCGCAAACCTTTCTATATTTACACTTCCAAATGTGCAGTTTTATATCATGTATGTCGTTTAATTCAACTGACGTGGTTGGAATTTGAATACATAACTTAGAGAAAGATTTTCCTAGAATTGAAACATCAGGTCCCCTGAATTTTTTAAGTTTAGAGAATGTCACATTTTTCGGTATCTTGCTAAAAACATTAAAATTTGTCAGCTTTTCTGGATGAGCGGGGGCGCTCCTGCTGTGATGTATATCAGGGAATTTAGGCAGCATTCAGTTCTTTTTTTCCCTCTTTCCATTACCATTAGGCGATTAAGGCAGTGTTCATTTCTATTTCCCTTAAATCTTTCCATTACCATTGTGTGATGTAGTGGCTTCATGGAATGGTAATAGCGCCCTGTATGGTTGGTCAGCATTTTATAGCAGAGCCTCTGACGTAGCAAGCACAACGGACATTCCTCTGGCCAGGATTCCTAGGAGAAACCAATCAAAGTCAACAAGTCCTTCCAGTGTTAACCCTGAAGTTGCTGGGTTATTTTGTACCATCTCACAACCGAGAGCTTTTCAACTGATTTTTTCAACACTCGGCGTGCATGTAAAACATTCCTTATCAATACAGATGCGGAGTCTCAAATCAATCTGACATACAACTTATAGTTGATACGGTCATTTGATGTTGAAGGTTACAAGCGTACCAGCCACTGTGTGCACTTTTTTTGGTTGACCTGTTTGGGAAAGTGGGTGCATGAGAACAGTACGTGTCATTTCACAGAACTGCTGCACCCCTTTTCTTTCAGAGAAAGGGGTGGTTTTAACAAGAAGGATTCATGTATGTGCAACTTTCACAGAATTGATGTCAAAAGACCACAAAAGACTTACTGAAAAACTCCTGAAGGCTTGACTACTGTACTGTGGCATTATCAATCCTGAGGGGCAGATTCTATCTACTCACTGGTTCTTTCAGGGTCAAAGGAACACACACAGCTAACTGCAAAATGTTGATTGTTAAGTTGTCAAACCTGAAAGTGATTTGGTTCAGGTAATGTCTTAGGACCCCTACTGGCTTGAATGTCTATATTTGAAATTTTCAATATTGCCTTGATGTTACTTTGTGCATGTGTCTGTAACATTAATGTATGGCCTCAACATCATCTTCAACTCTTAAAAAGACAACTTACAGTCACTGCAGAAGACAGACTTCTCCTGGATGGACAGCACAGGTTTCTTCCACTCTCACTACCATCTCTGCTTCTATCCACTTGCCAACAAGTTCCCTAAAGAAAAAGTTAACTGGACTGGAGAAATAGAAAGGCCTCATTTCTGTCATTTAATAGGAATGATTCCAAAGCCGTTTTCATAATTAAAACAAGCACAATATATAACCCAGACTATTCGGGGTTGTTTGGTTAGAAACCCTGCCAGACACATCAGTCTGCATCATTTGTCAAAATAATTTGCTTGCCCAGTGTAAAAGGATCCAACAGGTCAACTCTCCCCAATGCCAAACAGCCTGGGCGTCTGTGGTTGCCAGTCACCACAAGATCCAACAGTGGCATTGTTCAATGAGACTAGCTCCCATTGTCTCAACATGACCAGTCTGTTTGGCTGCTGTTGATTGCCCAGTGCATCAAAAGGCAAGTTCCCACTGGACGTTTTTTTGGTTATCTTACCTCGAATTTCCTGTAGAATTACAAAATTAAATCCAATGGGAACAGACCGTAAACTAACGTCCCAGTCAACTTACCGCGATTGGGATGTAAAACTATAGACCTCCATCAATGTTCCAAGAGCAGATAGTGTCACAATAAGGGGCTTGATCTGTGAAATTAAAATAATCATAAAATGATTTAAATCATTCACCCATATATAATTAACAACTTTCTTTTTACAAGACCAATATTCATTTTCGTGTTGTTATTTTTAAGGAGCTTCAAAAGACCATTCAAAGATTCCAAATTGTGGCTTTCATCAGTAAATTTTGGGGGAAATTATACCCCAAGACAGGTTTAGCGTCGGTTATGTTCTCAGCCAGAAAACATTTGTCATCATGTCTACAAAGTGTGTAACATCCAGGTCCAGCTCTGTGCAGTCTCTTTAGTTTTTAATTTAGTTCGCTAAGACAACAAAAATTAACACAGAGCTGTACATTTGTTTGATGGCTGCACCAAGTAGCAACTTCAACTTTATTTTAAATAAGGACAGATTTTCAGCTGAGGCAGATACATTATTCAATTTCTGCCTGATCTTCCTAACCCTACAGGGGAGGTGAAAGGTTATTTCCCCCTCCCACACAAACACAGTGATACAACACCTTCCATTGCTTTCCTCCCCACACAGCACCCCTCCCCCTTCAAAAATGTCTTCACCTCTTTTTTTCTCCTTTCATGGGTGGAGGGTGAAGGCACCACAGCTGCCTAATTGCGATCAAATCAGAAGGGTTAGCAGGTGTCAATTACATACATGTACATGTGCATGATGTCATATGCAGACTTACATGTCTCCATCGTCCAGTCATCTCTTACCTGATTGCCAGCTGCCAGGTTTGTACACAGGTGCTCAATGTACATGTAGGCGGTCCGCCACATACAGTGTGTGCGGTCTTGGAACTTCAAATGACCATCATAACAAAACAATATGTTGGATTGAGCTCACCTAATTTTTACAAAATGAAGCAAGGATCGGCTGAGTCACTGGTGTGGGGTCTGGCATCGAAGTGTGCCAATGCAATGCAGATGCAGAGGTGCATCCGATAACAAGGCAGACCTGGAAAAATAGCAAGCTATCACAAGAAGAGAAACTTAAACTAACTGAAGAATGTTCAACAGCAAAGTTGCAGGGAATTGAATCAATAGGAACTCAAACACCAATTCTACATCAAGCAGAAAACTACACTTCATTATGTGGAACAATACATGACATGTAAGTTGACTTGTCTCTGCTGATCTGCTTCACTGAGTATCATGGCCACACCACATGAGAGAGATTACCACAACTCATGTAGTGTGCAGTAATTAACGTT